GAAATTTTGAACATAGCCATGCATTAGGATATCCTACAACAGGATGTATAACAATTTTCGTAAAACACGTGCATGCACGTGCGCTGCAATCTGATTGGCTGAAACTTTAAATAGCTATAACTCCCTTGGTTTTCAACCAAACAGGATGGGATTTGGAGCATAGATATATTTAATGGACTTCTACAAGAAGGTATGGTCACCATGCACATGCATACACGTGCGTGTACGTGCGCTGCAATCTGATTGGCTGAAACTTTAAACAGCTATAACTCCCTTGGTTTTCAACCAAACAGGATGGGATTTGGAACATAGATATATATGGACTTCTACAAGAAGGTATGGTCACCATGCACATGCATACATGTGCGTTAACATGCGCTGCAATCTGATTGGCTGAAACTTAAAACAGCTATAAGTCAATTGGTTTTCAACCAAACGGGATGGGATATAGAACATAGATAAATATAACAGACTTCTACAAGAAGGTATGGTCACCATGCTCAGGTATGCACGTGCGTGCGCGTGAAATTGGTAAAATCAAAAATACACTTGAATGGGCTTTTTTTTTAATACTTTGTATTATATACTTTCATAATTAGCATATAAAAATACGTAGATTGGGTAGACAATATGATATGGTCATTACCCACATGCATTCACATCCGCAAGTGTGCAATGATAAAATTCGAATGAACCTGGTACACTTCTAGGTAAATGTTGTTAAAGTCTTAAATGCATAGATTTTTCTTATTTAATTACGCTTACAGGGAATATGACTATGAAAGGGAGTTGGGGAGCGTTTGGGGAACATCTGTAACGGTTCCCGTTACAATTAGCACTAGTTACTATTTAGTTTGATATTTGAATTATAAGATTTGCACATTGTTTCATTTGAATGACATAATTATTTACATGAAACTTTTTATATTAAAGAATTTTATCCAATTACAGATTCAAGGTAAAGGATACAATGATCCCGCGGATACAAACCAAATTTCAATATGTGGTTTAGGGCTTCAATCTGGTAGAGATGTTTTCTATATTAATGGTTGTGATAATCGCTCACTGAGTTTCTCTTCCATGTGCATTGATGACATTTTCAAAGTAATTCACTACGAAGGAGATCAAACAATTACAGAGGTACTCTAGATTTTTTAGGGCATTCCACTCAATAATTAGACGTTATTTTCTTTACTTATATATCCATAAGCTATATAAATTTTAAGCATTTAATCATTGAAGACAGAAACTAAACAGTAATTTATTTAAGAAAATTGCACTGGGATCTTTGAGACAGGCATTGAAAAATTTTAAACTAAAAATTCAAATTCTACGAATATAAATGTTGTGATAGAGCATGCGTTAAATCATTATTTATAGAATATGATATTATAGAATAAAATTTTATCTGTTAAATTTTATAGATTGTTGATTTAAAAAAAAGGAGACGACCCTTTAATGACAGATGAGGGTTATATAAATATAGTATTGTAAAGTATTTTCTCCGTACAAATCTATATTCTGTATTTATTTTCTCAGAATCCGAGGCTATTATAGTCGAAATACCTTAAAAATATACAGTCATTTAGATTTTTTCTTGATCTCTTACGCAAGGATTATACGATCTTAAGATACTTTGTTTTTTAAAGGTGTTCCTTCCAACAGGAGATGTATTGTTTGTGTATCCTTATGAAGATATGCAAAGGAGAAGGATAAGTTATATAATTCAAATTTTGGGAACAGCACAAGGAAACTTTCTTTCCAATGCAAAGTAAACTTAGTCTATTAAATATAGTTAACTGTTTTAAAGCTATGATTGAAGCAAAGTTACATTAATGTCATCTTGTACAATATTGAACCCTTACTTAGTACGAGGGTCGTTAGAAAAGTTCGCGGACACATTGTATTACGGAAAATCTATTGTGTACTGTGAAGTATGACCTATGTCTGAATAAATTCCTGCATTTTGTTTATTGGTATGTATAAAATCAGGTCCATATAATAAAATCTTGAAAATTTACAACGATTTTTACTATGAGGTCATGGGATTCACGGAGCAATCACTTGACGTAAGGCGACGTGACAACGAGATTTCAACCGGTTAAGCTTTGTCGCAGTTCTATAAATCTTTCATTTCTTCAGATTTTTCTGATCTTTTTTCTACTTTAAAATTGAATATCTATAGCAAGACATGTTACTTTTCTTCTTTATAATGTCTTTTTTACTGATTCGGATATTATTGAGATCTTACAAAAAGTCTATGCAGTTAATCGATCAGGTATGGAAACTATGCAAAACCATATAGGCGCAACGCAACGTCCATGCGATAAGGGGATATTGAAGTATCGATGGAGTTAATCATTCAAAATGTTAATCCTTCCATTCTTATGAACTTACAACCATTTGAAAACTTGTCCTTTGTAGGTGTAGGAGATTCCCGGCAGCATCTTGAATATTTTAATCTCTTTTTAGACATTTTCCAGTCTGCATACATAATTTTTACGTAGTGCAGTGCTCCATGACGCTCAATGACGTTCCGATTTTTGGCTGTGTTTTTTAAGCGTTGATCAATTATAAACGGCTATAAAACAGTCATATACCCTCCAATTTAGATCAAAATTTCTCCCAGTGACGTTTCATGAATACTTTAGCGGCAGGTAAAATATCATAAAACTCTTTGCGCTACAATTGTGCAATTTTTAATTTTGATAAAGAGTCTTTGTGATGTAAACGTGCCAAAATGTAGCATGCTCCGTGAAGCAAGTATTATCAAAATAAAAAAGCTGTATATTTTTCAATAATCATCGGAGAGCACCAAATTCTTGTATATTTATTGGAAAAAAAGTAAAAATTTTATCTGGAAAGTTTGACCGGTTTCGAGGAAATAGCGCGCTCACAATAGAACTTGTCCGCGAACTTTTCTAACACCCCTCGTACTATGTAATCGATTGTACAAATATATTTCTTATCAAACAGTTTAATAGTTAATACGATCTAAATGCTCTTAAATTAAAGGTTTCAATTACAAATATGTACACATTTAATATAATAGCACATTTTAACAGAAACATAAGATTATCAAAAATGAATCTCATATAGATGTAATGAAAATGAAAGAAAAAACACTTTAGTGAAGGGTTGGTGTATTTTGAAAGTCCCATTTGAGAATTTTTTTTACTCATATAGAGATGTCGCCACATATACCGGTGAAGAACTCCAAATAAAGATCTTATCATGGCACACTGGGTTATTAAGCAATGAGGGTTAATTATGGTACCGACGCTAGTAGCTACCACGTCAGTGTACAATGTACTGAGGGTTTGGCAAAATAAGTACATGTACTGTTCTTCATTGACTTAAGTCTGTCGCCGCCGGGACTTAAATAAGTAATCCCATAACCTTCCTATCATGAATAGGCGCTCCACCTACTCTACCGACTGAACTTAAGTGACAAGCCATTCAATGAATGTTATAGTCTAAATTTAAAGTAGAAATCGACGTTTAGAGAAAAAAGTTATGGGATGGAAAAGTACCCCAACATAAAAAAGATTCCCAAATGTTTTATTCTAGAAAGCAGTACCTGTGAAATTACTCATAGATTCTATCACCTTGGAATTTTGGGATCTTTTTAGATCAATATCAATGAATTCAAAGTACTCATTAGTTTTCTACTTTTTGAAATGTCTCTGAAATTTTACACTGCGTTAAAAAATAGTATGCATCTTTTACAAATCACTGGACTAAATATATTCCAATAAATTAATGATGTTTGAACAACATTTTGTGTTTGACGACGTTTCACCATATTGAAACATAATTATATGATGTGACGCTGTCTCGTTTCTGTTAATGTTTGAAATATACGTTATGCATTTTTCGCTTAATATTTTCTTTGCCGATTTAGTAAGTGTAGCATACTAAAAGTATCAAAAATGATATCCGCTTTATTTGAGATACATTTTATTTTTAATCGAACGTTGACTCGTTCTTTGATAAAAGAAATTATTACAACACTATATTTAAAAGCGATGAAAGCATTTTAACAATGGTCTGTGCACACTATCGGTGACCATTAATGATATTTTTTCCAAAAATATTAAGGTAAAAAAATAAAAATCATACTGTTCTGATTTGGATTTTCATTACTTATATTTTGGTGTATAATAATTATTTCTTGAACAATTCATTTTGACCAAAACGCCATTGTTCATTAAAGAGCGATATATGGTAAGTGTCTCAATTGACCCCTTAAAATGAATATCTTAATTTTACTTTATATATAACTTTAATTTGTGCAGCTATATATGCGACCTTTATTGGTCATTTTCATTTTGATCATAATGCTGTTATTTTAGAAATATGACATCATAAAAGTCACGTTTTCTCGCCATTTAGCATATTTTGTATAAAACTGCTTATTTTCAAGCAGTTTTTCTTACAGAGAATATAGAGCACAGCCTAGAACAAGCTTTATATTTTTACCAAAGATGTATCTATCCAATACTGATTAGTGACAAAAAATTTTTTTATGTTCTACACTGCGCTCTATGTTTCCCATAAAAGAAAATATCAAGAAAAAGGCATATATTTGGCTTTTTTGTTAGATAGCAAAAATAGCATAATTTCTCATGTCATTTACAGCTAGAGGGTGCATATAAATGTGAAAAAAAAATATTAGAAATATTTCTAATATAAACTCTTCTTCAATATAAATATCAATTAAACATATCCGACTGTCTTTCTAAAATGTTTATTTTTAGGGGGCCAAATTGGCTCTTATCATATATACTCCTTTTTGAATAACCCTCGTATAAACATAAGTTAGAATAGAAAAAGAAAAATGCACACTTTCAAAAGTTTTTCATACAATCGAGCGCTTTCTGTATTTAATATTCCGTCTTCCGGTGTAGTATATACATTGAAAACTCGAGTGCAAGTGATAATTATTTCTTATTTATTTAGCATATCCACAAACATCTTTAATATCCAGTCTACTGATTTGCCATTGTTTACACCATTTCATGTACCAGAAAGGAAATTTTGTTCATGTAAAAGAGAGGACGTTCACTTGCATTACGCAGACCACGTTTACCTTAAAAACGAAGTCTTTTGTCTTCACAACAACAATACGCTTTGTGAGTGCTTCTTTACATAAATGAATGTAGCAAAAACTAATAAACTTATGTATTTTTAGGTCACCTGAGTAAACTCAGATGACCTATTGCTATCCGTTTTCGTCCGTCGTCGTCCGTCGTTTGTCGTCCGTCGTTCGTCGTCCGTCGTGTGTTAACATTTGAACATTTTCAGCTTCTTCTCTGCAACCACTGAACCAATTTCAACCAAATTTTGCACAAAGCATCTATGGGTAAAGGGGAACAAAAATTGTGAATTTCATGATCCCTGCCCCCCTGGGGCCTGAGGGGTGGGGCCAAAACCACTAAAATTAATGCAATCTTTAAAAATCTTCTTCTGTACTCCTGGACATCAAGCAGTCAAACTGTTTGCATGATTGTAATAAACATTGAGTCCTCTACCAAAATTGTAAAATTCATGGCCCTGGGGTCAGGGGTTCTAGTGCTAGGGCGGGGCTAAATAAGTTTATAGTGAAAATGCATTATTTCTTTGGAAATCTTCTTCTCTACTCCTGGGTATTAAATAAACCAACTAAGTACATAGTTATGATGAGCAAGAGTGCCTCTACCAAAATTGTGAATTTTATGGCCCCAGGGTCAGGGGCTCTGGTGTTAGGGCGGGGCTCTATTGAATGATTATATATAGTGAAAATACATGATTTCTTTGAAAATCTTCTTCTCTGCCCCTGGGTATTAAATATACTAACTAAGTGCATAGTTATGATGAGCATGAGTGCTTTTACCAAAATCGTGAATTTTATGGCCCCAGGGTCAGGGGTTCTGGTGTTAGGGCGGGGCTCTATTGATTATATATAGTGAAAATACATGATTTCTTTGAAAATCTTCTTCTCTGCCCCTGGGTATTAAATATACTAACTAAGTGCATAGTTATGATGAGCAAGAGTTCCTCTACCAAAATTGTGGAATTTTATGGCCCCAGGGTCAGGGGTTCTCGTGTTAGGGCGGGGCTCTATTGATTATATATAGTGAAAATACATGATTTCTTTGAAAATCTTCTTCTCTGCCCCTGGGTATTAAATATACTAACTAAGTGCATAGTTATGTTGAGCATGAGTGCCTCTACAAAAATTGTGAATTTTATGGCCCCAGGGTCAAGGATTCTGGCGTTAGGGGGGGGGGGGGGTCTATTGATTATATAGTGAAAATACATGAATTCTTTGAAAATCTTCTTCTCTGCTCCTAGGTATTAAATAAACCAACTAAGTGCATAGTTATGATGAGCAAGAGTGCCTCAACCAAAATTGTGAATTTTATGGCCCCAGGGTCAAGGATTCTGGCGTTAGGGGGGGGGGGGCTCTATTGATTATATAGTGAAAATACATGAATTCTTTGAAAATATTCTACTCTGCTCCTAGGTATTAAATAAACCAACTAAGTGCATAGTTATGATGAGCAAGAGTGCCTCAACCAAAATTGTGAATTTTATGGCCCCAGGGTCAAGGGTTCTGGTGTTAGGGCGGGGCTCTATAGATTATATATAGTAAAAATACATGAATTCTTTGAAAATCTTCTTCTCTGCTCCTAGGTATTAAATAAACTAACTAAGTGCATAGTTATGATGAACAAGAGTGCTTTTACCAAAATTGTGAATTTTATGGTCCCAGGGTCAGGGTTTCTGGTGTTAGGGCAGGGCTCTATTGATTATATATTGAAAATACATGAATTCTTTGAAAATCTTCTTCTCTGCTCCTAGAAATTAAATAAACTAAGTACATAGTTGTGATGAGCAAGAATGCCTCTCTTAAAATTATGAATTTTATGGCCCAAGGGTCAGGGGTTCTGGTGTTATGGGGGTGGGGCTCAATTGACTATATTATGAAAATACATTAAATCTTTGAATTTTTTTTTTTTGTCTCTGGGTATAAAGCAGATGAACTACCTTTATAGTTATGATGAGCAAGGGCCCTAATCTTGCAGAATTGTGAATTTCAAAGCCCCAGGGTCAGGGGTGGGGTGGGGGCTCTACTTATATACTGAAAATGAATTTATTGTTTGAAATCTGCTCTTTTGTATTTATAAAACATTTATTTATTTTTGATATTAAGGGTGCCTTTTTGAAATTTGTGCAATGTGTGGACCTAGGGTCAGGGGTTTATGTCACAGTGTTAGGGGCACTACTGGTTAGTTGGAATGCATTTTTGTTCCCCTACCCTGCATATGGGTATTCAGTAACCAAGCTAAGCAACTGCTAAGTGTATTGTTATGATGATCAATGGTGCCTCTTTCAAAATTATGAATGTCATATAGCATCTGGCTTAAAACATGAATCAAAGTCAATAACTGGAAAATTGTTGCATAATGCTCAGGTGACCTATAAGGCCCGTGGGCCTCTTGTGCTAAATAATCTGCTAATGAGAGTAGTATTTAAAAAAACGTAACCTTTTCTCTAATCCTTTTTAAGTTTTGTTTTCTGTCAGTTTCTTACGTATATGACATTAAACATATGGAGATAAGGAACATTATTTCCTATCTAGCTTGTAATACGAGCTTTGATTGGTTACAAAGTCAGGTGCACAGGTACTTGTGGACAGAACCCCCTTCCCCCCCCCCCCCCCCATATTCAACCCCGGGGCTTATTGGATTTTTTTTCTTTCAAAAATTATATTTATTACACTTATTCATTATGTGTACAATATGAAAAAGTCGTCAAAACCCCAAAACAATCGCTCTACAAAAAAAAGAAATATATGTAGAGACGATGTGAATCGACATTTTAGGTGGTAATAAAATAAATACATGTTTTTAAACCCAGAAAGACCAGTGGGGGTACAACGTAAACAAACCAGAGTGGCATACCTTTCTCCCTTATAATGTATAGTGGGGTATTTTTTTGTAGAGCGATTGTTTTGGGTTTTTGACAATTTTTTTCATATTGTACGCATGATGAATAAGTGTAATAAATATAATTTTTGAAGAAAAATGTCCAATAAGCTCCTGGGTTAAATATCGGGGGGGGGGGGGGTCCTGTCCACAAGTACCTGTGGTCAGGTGTTAATATCCGTGCACCCGACTTGAGCCGGTGTAAAGACGAATAATGACCCCCATCGAATAATGACCGGGGGTCATTTTTTGACAGCAAAAAATGACCCCCGGTCATCATTTGCCGTCGAAAAATGACCCTTTTGCCCGTAGAAAAAGTGCCACCATCCTAAAAATTTGCAGAACCCAAAGAAAAATGACCCGCGTAGAAGAATGACTCCCTGTGGATTAAAGCTAAAATTTTTAGGGGGCAAAAAAATTAGATAAAGAAGCATATTGGCTTAATGCTCACCTGAGCTAATTGGGAATAAATTGATCATATGTTGATCTCATAACATTATACAATTATTATAGCTATATTTTAAGGTCAATGCCATGATTTACAATCTTAAGGAAATTTATCGAGCTTAAACTAAAGGGTTAGGTAAAAATTGTTTTAGGGTGGTGGAAATCATCGTATTAACAGAAAAAAATAAGCAGTATTATATATTATTATATCCTTCGCTTGAATAGCGGGAGGATATATAAGGATCGGGATGTCCGTCCTTCGTCTGTTACGTTTTCGGTATCCATCTCTTATCCGCATAAAAAGATGTTTGTGAAACAGCTATATATGCCCCTGTATGGCAACATAGGGAAACTTTTCTTAATGCAATTTAAATATATTGGTACCCAAAGTAGGGTATTCTCACAAGAAATACATTTGCAAAATAGGAAAGCCCTAGCACCACTTGTTCAAAATTAATGGCTTAAGATAAGTCTTTGAAAGATATGTCAAATACAAAGGTCAAAGGGTCAAAGTTGATGGTTTCTTAAGAAAGGTTTAATGTTACAAGGATTACATGTGTGAAGTATGAAAACCCTAGCCCTTACCGTTCAAAAGTTAAGGCCAAGGTTAAAGTTTTTTTTCCAGAAGTACGAAAATCTCCAGGTCAAGGTCAAAAGGTCAAAGTTTTTAGTATCCAATGAAAGGTCATGTCAAAAAAAATACGTATGTGAAGTATGAGAGTAATAGTATCTACCGTTTAAAAGTTATGACCAAAGTAAAAATTTTACATTTTTGTGTAAAATGGGACAAACTCCAAGGTTAAGGTCAAATTTGATGGTACCCAAAGTAAGGTCTTGTCACAAGGAATACGCATATTTGATATGAAAGTCATAGCACCAATAAATGAAATGTTCTGGCCAATGTTAAAGTTTTTGCGGACAAACAGACCACCAAATAGACGGACACTATAAAACTATGTACCCCCGAATCCTCGAATATGGATACATAGAAAGAAATGGTCTTCAATTAACTTTTCATATAATGATACAGTATAAAGAGGACGTTACAAAAATGAAAATGTTACTTCTGATTTTCATATTAAATTCCCTGAAAAATATTTTCAGAACTGAGTTAGAGGGTGGAGTAAAACAAGAATTGAGAAATGTAATGAATACTGTGTGCTAAATCAAAAAGTTATGTCTACATGTAAAGTTTTTGCATTAGAATGTGTAGTTTACACTAGCCCATAGCTTTACAGAGCATAGTTTTAGGTGTTACACCCACCCCGCCCACTCACTTATTTAGGAGGAAGTCGATTATCAACAAAAGCAACCAAAAAACTACCCTACCTTTATTTTTCTATAAGGAGGGACTAAAAATACATGTATTAAGCTTAAAACAATCTACCACTCTACTAATTTTCAAATGTTACTTTGCGACAATACTTTCAAGTATACCCCCACCAGCATTTAAAGTATGTTTTAATCATAGCGAAGTAAATCATGATTTGACAGTACTTGTGTGAAGGCTTAACTTCATTTCAATATTTTATCTAGAGCCTCTTTCAGTATTATTGAAAGGTATAGAGTTTTATTTATATTTTTGCTTTTCATTTATTATTTTTGTTTTGTTTTGATTTAAGGTAATGTTCTTTTTTGGGGAGATAAAATTTTCCTCCTCTTTCATTGTCAAATAGGTTTTGCCAAACTTATACAAGCTAAACGTTGAAATGAAGGGAAAATTAATTTTTCCTATTAAAGAGTATTTAAACCTGTTTGTTGCATGGTTTGATTTCTAAAAACAAGTGGAATATCATTCTTTAAGCATGCAAACATTATAAGGAGGAATATTAAAAAGAAATTTTATTTACTTGACAATTAAAGAATCTCTTTTCAAACACAATTTTAGCATTGAAAGACTACGTGAATCTCTAAATTATTGCAGTGTTATATATTATTTTATATTTTTGCGTTTTATAGCCTGAAAACAATTCTGAAAAGTTATTTCACCTGCATCCAAAATCCACTCAGTGATCATATTATCCAGGCACAAAGAATAGGAGAAGGAGGAGAGATTACCCCCTATCCATTTTTTCAGAATGTAATTTGAACAATTTCTAGTTTGAAAATGAAACTCATTTAATCAAACATTTTTTTTTTCAAAACAGTATAGTAAAAACATCTCTCCTACTTGAGTGAAAAAGATGCACATAACATTCAGGAACATAGAATCAGAGGTGGGGCCGGGTGTTATCCCCTTTCCAAATTCATGAATGTAAATTTTTTATAAAATTTCTCACTTGAAAATGTTCATTGCAAGTCTGATTGTCAGGGGGATGGGGGGCATAAAAAGAATGTATTTGCAAAGATTTAAATTATCTTTAATTATATAGTGATAGTCTGCATGTATAGGATGGAACATATAAAAAATACATAGCATCGAGGCGTCCTGTTATCCATTTCTATTTTTACTGAAATTTCTACTTTTTCCCAACATTTTTTTTTTATTCTGAAACAACGTATCAAAGGAGTCAGTAAAGAAAAAAATATATTCATAAATTTCATCTCCAGCGTGTGTTTGATCCATCTACATGTGCCATCTTTAATTTTCTAGATTTGCTCCTTTATTAGAGAAATGAAAATTAATTGATTGATTGTTAATCGCTTAAAACTGAGAGAAATGTGGAACTTTATTATACCCCTACGTGCTAAGAAGAACAAAGATCAAATCTATTAGAACAAATGCATGAATAACTCGAGGGAAGAACAATTATAATATACAGCATATTTTCTCTATCACCTGTTAAAATTTTGTATCACTTTAAAAGGGGTCATTTTTCGATGGGGGTCAATTTTTTATAGGAGTAACATGTAAAATAATGACCCCTAGGACTCTTTTTCTACAAAAAAATGATTTTTCTTTTACGGGTGAGGGGTCATTTTTTGTCGTTGAAAAATGACCCCCGGTCATTATTCGATGGGGGTCATTATTCGTCTACCCCGAATATTCGTCTACCCCGAGTATTTACCCCGGGTTTATTCTATACACCCTTCGGCCTTCGGCCTCAGGGTGTATGGAATAAAACCCGGGGTAAATCCCTGTACACCCTTGATTGAACCTGGATAACTAATAATATTCCAGATAAAAAGTCCATTATTTATACACTGAATTAATGACGGATTTTCCCGTTATTTCCCAATTCCCCAATTATGACAAGGACCACACGGCGGCTGTGGCCGGACGGCAGGGGATGCTCACTCCTCTATGGCACCTGATCCCACCTTTGATGTTTTGATGCTCCGTATATGTGCTGTATTGTTTTATGGACCTTTGATCTTGAATACTATTTGTCATCTCCATATGTTTTATGAAAATATACAGTTTTGCATGTTTTTTTTTTTTTGCACAAATTAAGTTTTTTGTTATAAAACTTAGAACTATCAAATCCAGTACGAGACATTACCCTTACATGCATTAATAACCCCATGCCAAAGTAATGTTCTTTTAAATCATTATCTTAAATTTCTAGGTTGATATTTTTGATATGACAAATAGTATAATGTTATATTATATTATATAAATAATTCTGTTATAGTTATTTCAAAATTAAATTGCTCGAGGTTTCTTTGAAACTATTTAGTTGATTTTATAAACATGAAAAATTTTTAGTACCGAGTACATGTACTTTGCACATTTACCAAATTCGTATTAGTTTTGTCGAAAAGTAGCGCCGCTAATGACGGTGCTGTATAAAGAAATCATGGCAACAGAAAGGAAAATGTAGATTGCTTATCTTTAAAACAGTACGTTGTTACTACTGAAAAGAAAATGTCTTTTACATTTACGGATTTTTAAACCTTTGAAATTTTGCTGTGGGACGTATCTTTAATGCTAGATTTCCGAAAGTAAGTCTTTAAAAATGCCAGCTTTTCGACTTAAAAAGTCAAATAGATAAAGATGAATAATATCATCTTGCTCTTTAGGATCATTTTAATGTTAAAAAGAAAACCAGAAGTTACATGACAAAGTATGGAGTTGGATTTTGGACCAGGTCTTACAACACTCTATTGAAATTCCAATGTGTATTGCGACCCGTCGTTAGCAGACATAGTTTGTATTAACAAGAAGCACTATTTGTCCATAATATAATATGTGTCAAGAAGGAAACACTCGTTTTGGCTTTCAACTCGATATTTATTCAAGGAATGTTTTTCATTAAAAATATGCCTACTTGCAAGTCTGTGTAATTTTTATACCAATGATTCACACTAAACTAAAAAAAAACATTCCTTATCTCTAGTATCATTTAGTGAGCTCATTGCTCACAATACCTTAATTTTTATACTGATTTCATTTTGTAAGTTTTTTGTCTATAAAATGACCTTGTCAGATGATGCAATCTATCATTAAGTTGAAATACTGACAAATATTTAAATACTGATTGTAAGGTCGTATTTGTTATTCACTGAATTATATACATATTTCCTATTGCATTTTTCTGATAATGAGCATACAGCGGACAGGGGATTCCAACATTCGCCTCTGTTCACACTTCTGATTTTTTACCGGTCTGTGAATGCTCTGCTAATCAATTGTCCAGTATGAAAGGACTTTTGAACTTGAATACTTTTTTTTACATATCTATATATCCTGCATTTGTTATACCCCCGCTTGTAAATTGAGAGGTTATAGAGTAACTCTCCATTTGTACCTCCTTCTTTCTGTCCGTCGGTTTGATACGCTTTTGGATACCCATCTCTTATCTGCAACTCCTCTCATACCACATAATGACATTTAATAATACTTTCATAGAATCTTAATTACATATTGCCATTTTGCACCTCTTATATTACTTTTTGATCCGACACATCTTTTGGCCTCCACATAGCAAATCATGGACACTGCCAATATAATCATATGGGAGACGGGGGTGTCATTGCTCACAATACCTCTAGTTATACCCCTGCTTATAAAGCGGGAGGGTTTATAGTAATTGTGATGTCCGTCAGTCCGTCTCTTACGCTTGGGGGTACCCATCTCTTATCCGAAACTCCTTTCATACCACTGAATGAAATATGATGAAACTTTCAAAGAATCTTTATTACATATTGCCATTGTGCACCTCCTAGTTTACTCATTTATCCGACATATATTTTGGGTTTCCTGTAGCAAAATATGGACTCTGCCATAATATAATAATATAAATGGGGAGCCGGGGTATCATTTTTTGAGCTCATTGCTTAAGTATCTCTAGTTTGATATTTTTTTTTTTATAAATATTATAATGAAACTTTTAAATAAACTTTATATCCTGATAAACATCGAGGTTATATTAGAAAAATATTATATTTTTGGAACATTCCTCTTAATCATATCTATATTTGCTGATTTTTCAAAAGGTCCCTCGCCTGAGAGGAATTCCTCATCTAACTGCTTGGAAGGTAATTAATAAAAATTGTGTTTGAGTTGTAAATTGTATAAACATTCTTCATGCAATAAAATGTGACATTTCCCTTTCAGAGAAGAGACATATAAGTAAGTACTTATATTTTCTTTTCATACCCCCGATTGAAAAGTGGGAGGGTATCTATATCGAAATCGGGATGTCCGTCCGTCCGTCTGTTACGCTTAAGGGTACCCATCATTTATCAGTAACTCCTCAAATACCACTGAATGAAATTTAATGATACTTTCACAGAATCTTTATTACATATTGCCATTGTGAACACATTTTAACTTATTGATCCTGCGCATATCTTTGGTTTCCCAAAGCAAAACATGGACACTGCAATTTTAATCATATGGGAGGTGGGGATATCATTTAGTGAGCTCATCGCTCACACTACCTCTAGTTTTAAACTCATGATAAAATGAAAACACTCACTGGCAACTATGAATTAGATTGTATGTAATATTAAAAGTACTTATTAGATGATTGTATTGAGCCATTGGTATATTAAACACGGATTGAACATTAATAAACTTTAATATAAAAATTTAAACGTGTTACTATTTATAACAAAATTTGCAGATTTCATTAAAGATAAATATACTAATAAAAACTTATAATAAGAAAACGTAATTTCTAACTGGTTAACCGATTACTCGGTCGGAACGATGGAAATCGGTTGGAAAATTTGTAATCAGTTAGTAAAAAAAAATCAAATTGAACATTATTTTCTTAAAATTTATTTAAAAAAAAAAACAAATCACCGCAAGTAGGGTTTAAATTTAGCGTTTAATAAAACTATTCAAACTTTTTTTTGGAAAATTATAGCTCTCTGGATTTAAACCATACAATGAAAGATATAAAGGGATAACGAAATGCATTAAAGGTGCATAGACACAGTTTCAGATAAAATTTCAAAATTTATTTTTCCTTTTTTACAAATATTTATCTAGGGTCTTTCTAATTATCATCAAAAACTTGAACACAAGTTGTCCAGTTACAACACAGATTTAGAGCTCCAAACCTTTGTTATGTAAACAAAGCTAGTGTCATGTTTTTTGGGGGTTTTTTGTTTACACATTTTAAAACCCTAATATATGTTTGTTCAAAGTAGATAATTTCAAATAAAAGTTAACTTTAAATACGATTCGACAGTTACTATTGATTTGCTGAACTTCATTTTGTTATACAGTGTAAATATGATATTTTCTATATGTTATCAGAAACAAGCACGAGCTTTGTTTACATTATAAGGAATTTTAAGTTCTGTATCTTGTTTGTTAATCAACAAATGATGTTCAAATTTTTGCTAATCAATAGAAGATTCCTTAGGTAGGAATTGTAAATTCCTTAGGTAGGAATTGTAAACAGCAAAATTGGTTTCAAAACATCAGTTAAAACAGTGTTCAGCCCCCTTTAAATATTCAAGTCTGTAAAACAATACAAACACGGACCTCCTAAACATCAGAGTTGGGATCAGGTGCCATAGAGGAGTGAGCATCCCCTGCCGACCGGTCACACCCGCCACTCCAGACGATAAACTAAAAGTCCAGGCTTTTTGATGAAATTATCAGCTTTTAAAAATAAAAATAGATCTTGGGAAATTAACACTCCTTGTAATTGGTTATTTGCGAAATCATATTGTTAAAAAACATTCCGATTGCAAACACAAGTACACTGAAGTTAATATTAAAAAAGTGTTTGAGTTTTTGACTGACAATATCTATATGGGTATTGGTGACTAATTTTTTCAACAATGTATTGGGTTTCCTATGGAAAGCAACTACGCATTTTATAAGCAGTCCAATTTTAGTCATATAAAGCAGAATTTGTCAAAAAATCTTTAACTTTAAAAGAAGGAAACACTTATGGCCTTAAACTCCATATTTAGATAAATGTATATCGACGATGTATTGTCATCTAACAATTGTTATTTCCATCTCTATGTCGATATAATATATCCCAGTGAGCTTTTAATAAAAGATGCCACATAGTCTGATACATCATCGACCCATTTTCGGCAGTTCGGGTTGCGCAGTGGGTTCAAAATCCCCCTGTTTACATATCCTAATGGATCTTACAATTAAGCTTCTTGACAAACAAGAAGACTTTAATTTTCCTTCAGCACTTGCATGCGGAGTTTTATATGTCTCGTTTGACACAAAATGCAAGAGCATGCTCTACGTATGGACAATTTTTAAAACGAGATAAGTTCTTGACAAACAAGTTGCTGAAACAAGATTATCAGCAGTTCTCTTTAAAAACATCTTTTCGTGTATAAATTCTATGGTCAGTACAAAAACCGCGACAGCTTATACAATTTATCATTAAGTCAAATGCTGGCTGACTTCTTTCAAGCTAAATATTAGGCCATTATATACACTCTGAATTGTCGACGGATTTAACCGTTTTTCCCGAAAATGACAGAACCACAGGGCAGATGTGACCGGTCGGCAAAGGATGCTCACTCCTTCATGTTACATGATCCAACCTATGATTTTTTGAAAGTCCGTGTTTGCTCTGGTCCAATTTTGTATCATTTAATAGACTTTTGAGCTTTAATATTCTTCGTTATCTCTGTATGCGTCTTTTTTTTTATATCGATCACTTTTCGTTTTACTAATATTCGATTTTCATTTTCGCTTTCACCCCCCCCCCATTTTTAATTTTGCATATCTTCAATTTAGAAAATACAATTTCTATGCTATTTTTATACAATGACTAGTTCTGTTAACTGATTGCAGAGTGGATACCTGTATTTCAAGCAGTATCGGGGAATGGAGAAAGCGTATACGATGCTTGGATGCGAGATACAGCTAAAATGATAAATTGTACAGTGCAAAATGGATGCCTTAGAGAGGGAGAATTGTTGTTTAAGTCTTCAAAGGATCGGCACTTAACAAGTCCATTACTATCCTCTTGGGATTCAATAGGAGTAAAAAAGGTTTACTTCATTATTTTATATCAGAAATGAATTCTAATAATATATTACTTAAGAAATTGAGAATGCTGTTAGATTTTATTTAAGATAAATTTAAAAACAGACCATCCTAATTAGTTTTTCCCATGTTCCTGCTGGCCAGAAACACAAACTTATGAAAAAATTCATCCATTGCCTAACGGGTTTTTATAACTTCCTCTGACAGAAGATGTTTTCTCTCTTAGCATAGTTCTGACACAGACAGTTTTAACAGTCCCGTTACCGGCCGTAACTAGAGAATACTATTTCATTTTCCCTCTCTTCTATATTATGCATCTTTACAAATTGAAGTTTTGTTCCAACCAGTGTATAAAAAGTACAAAAAACTACATGAATCCCGTAGATAAGATTTCAAACTTCCGACTTATGGTATTAACAAATAGAATAAAATCGCAAGTAGAATCTTGAATTGGGACGAAATACTTGGCGATGGCAGCCAATGCTATTTTTTCTCTACGTAGTTATAACAATTAAACAAATTTAAACCTAATAGAAAATAAAAACCTGAGCGTCCATCTGTCTATCCGCCCGTCTGTCCGTCTGATCTGTAAAGTTTTTCACATTTTTGACTTCTTCTTGAGAATCATTGGGCCAGTTTTAACTAAACTAGCTACTAAGCATCCTTGGGTAAAGAAAAATCAAGTTTCTTTGAATGAAGGGCCAAGCCATCTTACTAGGGGAGATAAAGATGAATTATTGAAAAATTGAAGCATCTTTTAAAAATCTTAGACGAAGGGGATTCAGGTTTGCTCTAATAAAGGGCCACGCCCTCATTCAAGGAGAGATAATCAGAAATAGTGAAAATGTTGGTGACATTGAAAAATCTTCTTCTCAAGAACCACTGGGCCGGGAAAGATATGAAACTTATCGAGAAACATTCTCAGGTAATGTAGATTCAAGTTTGTACAAATCATGATCCCTGGGGTGTAGGGGAGTCACAATGGCTGATCAAAGTTTTACATAGAAATATATAAGAAAATTCTTTAAAAATCTTTGTCTTAAGAATAAAAAAGCCATGGTTGATAATATTTATATGAAAGTGTCTCAGGTAGTGTATATTCAAGTTTATTCAAATCATGACCACCGAGGCATAGTGGGGCCACAATGACCGACCAAACTTTTACATAGAGATATAAAGGATAAATTCATTGAAAATCTTATTTTCAAGAACAACAAAGCATGAATGGTCATATTTATTCCGAATCATCCTCAGGTAGTGTATATTCAAATATGTTCAAATCATGACACCTGGGGATAGGGTGGGCACACAATGGCCATTCATAGTTTTACATTTTCTCAAGATTAGCAAAGCCAAGAATGGTCATATTTATACAGAAGAATCCTCAGGAAATGTATATTTAAGTTTGTTCAAATCATGACCCTCGAGGTAGGGCGGGACCACGATGGCGCATTGGCCAATTAAAGTTTTACAAGGGAATACATGTATATAGGAAAAAGTTTCCAAGAACAGCAAAACCATGATTGGTCATATTTTAGTTGGGCGGGGGTGCACAATGTAAGTTCAAATATATAGGGCAATTAACCCACGAGTAGTCAAAGAAACAAGCATTCTTAGTTAGTGTAGATTCAAGTTTGTTCAAGTCCGACCCTCTCCCCTTTACGGATAGGTTGGGATATCTTTTGGGTTTAAACTTTTCAATGAGAAACTGATATCTTTTTTCCCTAGCGGCATTACTCTTGTGAGCGATGTGGACCATTAAGCTTTTATTAGGCAATGCAATTATTCTTCCAAAATTTAAAATAAATATTTAAAATTTAAAAGGACTATGTAATTATTAGCCTTCTTCTAAGTTTATTCCACTTGTGTAATGTTCTTCCTATTTGTTGGTTTCATTTTAGTCTCTTCCACCACACATGTCAAAATATAAATGCGGCTGCTTTATCCATGAATCTCTGATAATATTTTATATTACTTGCATCAATAATATGAATTATTTACAGGTGAAGTTAGAATTATACAAAGATCAAAGAAGCGTGGTAAAACTGGTCTTCAATGGTTTTAATTCTGACCGATTGTCTTGGTTTTCGATGGAAAGATTTATTGGAAGTGAGAACTACCGAAGACTCGATGATCGAAATTACATCTATTTTAATATTGAAGGGTAATGAATGCAGTTAAATAATATTTTTTCAAAAGATTTTTAAAATATATCCTCATTGTCTTCAGTCTGTTATAGCGATGAAAAGTTATTTTAAAGAAAAATTCTTCAAATTCAGATGTCAGTTTTGAATATGTTAAACACCCCAAGGAACCATAATGAATTTGAACTACCATATTGTACTGGATTTCCAAACTTTAGAAGAATCGATACAAACAGAGATACATAGCGGGTTCCCGTAAATGTTCAAGCAAGCATCTTTCTTACTTGTGGCCCGCTTGGCGCAGTGGTTAGAGCGTCTGCTCTAGAGTCGCGAAGTACGGAGTCAATCCTTATATCGCGGGTTCGAATCCAAGTGTTGGACGTGGAGACCGGTCCTTCGGATGAGACCGTATAAACCGAGGTCCCGTTTCGCAGTAGGTGTTGGCAGGAAAAAGATCCCTTACTGCTCAATGGCCCTAAGTGCCGAGCACAGGACAAAATTTGCAGCTCTCCACCGGCAAGTGGTATGAGTGAAAAATTCTCGAGAGGGACGTTAAACAATATAAAATCAATCAATCTTTCTTTACTTCTCACTAAGATATTAACAGTAGTGATGGAAAAACTTCAAAAACAATGGTTCAAAATATATTCCCGAAATGGTGTTAATTATATGTGGATAATTTGAAATCTCGGGATTTTACCAAAATCAACAGCTTTAAAACTTGCGACTTTTCAACTTTATATACAATCATTCCTCACTATGAATAAAAATCCAGGATTGTTGATATCATTGACAGCGACTTTTTCAATAAAAACCAAACTCTTAAATTTACTAATCTGTCATGCTCGTTATGTTCAAATGACGTGAAAATACTAAAAACAGTGATTATGCGCTGTAATTTATTGAAAACAATGCAAACACAGAGATAGAACAAAGTATGTAATAACATTTATAACACTCTTTTTTCTTAGAGATTTTCGATGCAATAGAAGATTTTTTATTGACGATTTTCTCGTGATAAATGACGGTAATCCAGAATGTGTATATAATCAAGACAATTTGCCACAGCTTATATGTTGCCAAGACAGGCATAACGGTGGTAAGTAAAAAAAAATATATGAACATCAGATACACAATAGTTAAAATGTTTTGCCATATTTAACAAATAAAAAAAAATTAGTTTGATAAATGTGTTATTTGAACAAAATATGGTAATAGACATACAGTCTGTTCCTTATTACAAGGGTTTTGATTAACACGCGTGTTACGACTAAATTTATCTTTAACGATATGACAGTATGTTTTGATGGGCAGGATGACGATTACGATCATGTAAAAGTGGAATTATCACTTAAAGTACATTGATACTCTGATAAGAGAGATAACTCTTAATGACACAAATGTCTATTATTCCTTTATAAAGAACCACGAACGATAGTATTGTTCTCCCGCCTACCTCTAAGTCAATTCTCAAAAGTTAGCATATTCGAATGATTTTCGATATTTTTATAGATATTTATTTGAATTTTCATAAAACGTTACTTATTTGGGATACCAAAGAGAGATAACTCTATAATTTTGGTTAAACTTGTGTTTTTCACTATAGAAATCAACGGAAAACGGAAAATATTTTTAAAACATCTCCCCCCCCCCCCCCTGAAACAAAAATTCCTTTTTACAGGTAATATGGACTGTCAATTTACAAATTCATGCCAAAGCTTTTTGTGTTTCACGGGGGGGGGGGACATGTTTATAGACTAAAAACGAAAAAAAATGCTGATTTTTCACCAATTTTAAAGTTATGAACAACTAAAAAATTGTATTTTATTTATTTATATATGTGTAATTTATTTGCGTAAAACATGAGAAAAGATATGAGATACATTTTATGATATTTAAGACTATTTCAAAATATGGCGATTCTTGAAAGTTCGATTTCACCAGAAAATATCGCCTACCCCCCTTTTTTCAAGAGGGTGAATTAATGATAATTTACTATCTAGCGCTGGAAATAAAATGATTAATCAATTACCATAGAACTGTTCTTTGTATGAAACAAAGATTTAATGGCCAAATTGCCATTAAAATTGAATTTAATGGGTGCAAAATGTAGGCGGGAATCAAGAGTTAGAGTTCGTAGTTCTTTGTCAAGTTTAAATGCCTTTTTTGTCAAATTTTGCCCTTCAAGCCATGCTATAATTGTTATTCAACATATACATTTCCTTTGGAAAATCATAAAAGTTAAAGAAAAATTTCATATGAGTAACCAGAGGGTTTGTGAACCTTAAATAGGTGCTGTTTAGAAATTATATAGTAAAATTATTATTGGATGGACCTCTTTACTCATCTACATATTGATTTCAAATCCGTTTTGGTGAAATCAAGTTTGTTTTCAATACAAATATCATAGCTCCTTTTCAACGTTCACAAAATAATAATTACTTGATATGTTTGCGAAATTCGCTACTATGAATCTCAGCAAAACAATCCCATACTAAAGACAAATAAAAAGAAATATGTCATGTCTGTCTTTAGAGGATAAATCTGTTTTGCTTTTCATTGCAAATTTAAATCAGAAATACTTGGGAAAAGTGTTCTTGTTGTGTATTATTGAGAAATATTAAAACTGAAATCCAGAAAAATAATTTTATTCAGAGTAGAAATGTTCGAAAACAAAACTCCTTCACAAGTATCGTCATTCCGTTGTGTACAGAGTTTAGCAAATCGAGCACACTCGTGTTATGTACACAGTTTTTGTAAACAAGCCTAGAGCCTGTTATTGTTTGATGTTTACGATTCACTGGGTGCATTTAATCGCCAAAGTCTGCTCACCACAACTGCACGGACTGACAATATACTGTGTTTGTTTTGCTTTCGAACATTTTTACTCTGAATTTTCTGGATTATAGTATTAATAGTTTTCATTAATACACAACATGATTACCATTTTTCCTAAGGATTAAGAATAAAGTTAAAATTTGTGAAAGTGCAAGGAGGTGTCAATCAAACCCGCAAAAAAGGAAAAGTTTATAAATGAATAAACTATAAATAAAACTTAAATGAAATAAGATTTTTAATCAATTTTTATGTGAAATACTATTAAAAATATATATGTCGTGATATTAAAGAGAATAAATTAACTTTAAATCTGTGACCAAGTACCTTTAAGGGCGAAGGATATATATATATATATAACAGATAAATAAGATGCAACACTTTGATTAAACAACGAAAAATGCATAAATGTACTGCATTTCAGATTGTAAGTTCGCTGACACAATGGAAATACATGTTATGCTCCAGGATGAACAATTCATCTAATGGATATATCTATGATATTGTTATTTTTCTGTTTTACCAACAAAGGACTATATTCTGTCATATCCAGTGCAACCCAAACGAAAAAAGAAATTCTAAAAGGTAATTGCAGACTTGAAAGCAAAAATTATCACCATCTAAGACAACACATTAATTAAATTAAGTACTGAAAATTACGTTTATTCAAACTATTTATGACAATCTTTTGATTATGTGGTAATCTGATTAAATGAGTTATGTTTATACAGTACCCAAGCATGTTTTCGGTTAATAAAATGCATTATTTAAAATTGAACAGACTGGGTATTTTTTTAATGACCCCATACACGAAGTTACAGGGGCATATTGTTTTTGCCCTGTCCGTATGTCTGTAAGTCTGTCTATCTATTTAGCTATTTGTTTGTCCACAAAATCAAACATTGCCCATAAGTATTTGGTGGGTAGTGCTATGGCTTTCATGTTTCAAAGGTATGTCCCATATAGGTAACTCCAGAGTTGACCTCTTGAAGTTTGAGTTTGACCTCCTTTCACAAAATGATATCATACTCTAACCTTGGCCATAACTTTTAAAGAGTTAGAGATAGTACTCCTATACCTTTATACTTAACATGTTTAATCATTGTGTGGGTATAAATGTTTTGACCTTTGACCTTAATCTTATAGACAGACGTCGAAAAGTGATTGGTCAAATCTCTTCTTGAGAAATGGTGATGATCAATCACATTTTGCGTTAAATCTTCGGATGCAATGTTTAGCAACATTAGTGGACGACTTAAACTACATCAATTGAATGATGGGATATTGTATTTGAAAATTTGACTTAAACGATTCTTAATTGACCGTTATAAAATTTCAATTAAAGAGTTATTATTGCTGAATGATTCCAGGCATTATTCTTTCAGCTGCAAGGTATTTTTTTTTATTTTAATGCGGGAGTGTACTCGAGATCTACCCTGTGTAAATTCGTATATATGTTGGTTCCCTTTCTCATTTATATATATTTTATCGGTCCCTGGTGTATTCCTGTACAGAAAAAACAAATTGCACCCCGTTATTACCAGACCTATTTTGGTATTTATATGAAGCATAGTTGCTCAAAATTTTTTTACGTGAAAAGAAGAAAAGACTTTCTGTGGCCTTCAGGTGAACATATGGATATATCGACGACGTATGGATATTTGAATACTTCGACGACGTATTGTCATCTTACAATAGCTATTTCCATTATAATGTCGATACGAAATATATCCCGGTGTGCCGATAATGGTCACGTGACGAATTCAAGAACGGTCCTTCTTTTCTGAGCTCCACTATTTTTGACCCAAAAAAAATAAGTCAATTTGTTTATATATTTTTTCTGTGTTTCTGTCTGCTGTGTATATATATTTCATTGATTTGGATTACTTTCTGATGTGATTTTGAGGCGTTTATATATGAGTATAGAAACATAAACAGGTCTACTCGGTCCATTGTATTACCACTGTATTACCGAAGTGAGTGTCTACTCACTATATGTTTGTGTATAAGTGTGTAAAGATTTGTGTAAAGACTTGGACGTTTGTATTTACGAAATGGAGAAACCAGTGTATCTTAAAAACAGTGAACTTCTTGAGAATTCAGATAATTCTGTGAAAATTATAGATTATGAACTTTGATCTGCAAGCTGTGAGCACGGTTGTGGGAGATAACGTAAAGTGTTAACAGCTGGACAGGGACCTATGGAAAATATATCTTCATAACAAAGAAAGTAGACAAAAAATCCTACAGCAAGGGTTTGAATATAAAAACCAAGCTGTGTTGATGTACGACACTAACCCCTACTCGTCTGGAGCACTTTTTCCTAAAGATCATTTGTTAAAAGTCACAGCTTTAGGGATATCGCTTTCTGTTATACTGAAATTATAAACATGCTTAAAACATTAAACACTAGACTTCAAAAGTGAACTTCGTTATGAAAACATTCGAAACCCAGAAACTGGTACAATGACAAGCGTCCTGAATGTAAATCGCTTCATATATATTTCCCTACTCCCTTATGGCAAAGCACTTCCCCGAACTAGCTATTGTGCGGGCTTAAAATGCAGAATACCCCACTTTAATTTGGTCAATTCTAAGCGAAACGAGAAAATAAAATGTCGAAATTGCTGGCAAACTGGCCATTATACAAGGAACTGTATAAATGAAAAATGTTAATGGTAAAGTTGGTCAAAAACCGGGTCATGAACCCGGGAATACTCAGTGAGAATTTTATCAGGAACAAACAGATGTTGTTGCTTTTCAAGGTAACAAGAACATTCTTTCAAATTTGCATATGCATATCAAAGTTTTTGGAGAAAACCACAAGTCAGCTGAACATGCGTTTCAAATCAATTCGAAACGGCGATCTTGTTATCGCCGAAAAAATTCGTTCTGCGACGACTGCACTGGATGCAAAGCACATCGGAGACTACATCTATAAAAAGGAATTGTGTGAAAAAGAACAAACCGAGGTTATGTCTACAATTATAGCCTCTCCACTTACGATGATTTCTGGGGGACTGGTATCAACATGTCAGCTACTGTGAAAACAAATTCTTGGCCCGGTAAAAACATGTTTGGCATTTTAATCAGAGATGAAGCAAAAAATTACCGTCGCATACCAAGAAGCTGGTCTCTCCCGAGGCAACCAAATGCAGAGCTGCTCTGATGTCACAGAGGGAAATCACGGATTTCGAAAGCCAGCTTAAGGAAGGACCACCAAAGAGATCTAGAGAAAATATTTTAACGAAAGAAGTGGTCATGACACAGACACTAGTGAGCAAGGCCAATATCCTTTTTTCCTCAGACTCTTTCTATGGTGAATTGTTTTCTCTCATTCATGTAATAAAATTTTGCTTTGTTCAGATTTAACTATGATTAACCCATTACTAAGTGTTTTCTCCTGAAATGCGAAGAAATTAAATACATACGAAAAATAACAGTTTTAAACGATTGGATTTTCGTAAGTTCTATGGTCGATACAATGACCTTGACAGCAAATACAATTTATCATTGAGTCAAATGCTGACTGAAGTTTTTCATACCAGTTGTTAGTCCATTATTTATACACTGAATTGACGACGGATTTTTCGTTGTTTCACGATCATGACAATGAACACACGGCATGTGCGACCGATCAGCAGGAGATGCTCACTCCTCCATGGCACATGATCCCACCTCTGATGTTTCGGAGCTCCGTGTTTGCTCTGCTCTTATTTTGTATATTTGTTTAATGGACGTTGAGATCGAATACTGTTCGTTATTTCCATATCCTTCTATGTGGATACTCAAAAATTCCAAAGAACTTTTGGACAATTTGAAATCACAAGATTTTACCAAAATCAACAGCTGAAAAACTTACTTCTTTTAAGCTTTATGTACAACCATTCCCCACGAAAAATTAAACTGCTAAATAATAATTTTGATGTTAGTAAATGGAATACTGATGTGCACATATTTTGTAACAAGTGTCGGGACATTGAAAACGTAGAACAAATGCAATGATTCTTAAAACATATGGGAAAAAGTCAGCAAATCATTAGACTTCAATATCGGCTGGAAAATATAGTAATTTGGTTTTTGAAGAAACTCAATTATCTGAAATGTTAAACATACCCATGAAGGATATGGAGTATATCCTATATAGCTCTGAAAATATTCATATATTAAATGAAATGTCATGTAAATTGTGAACCATGTCTATAAAATTTGTGAAGAGCAATTTATTGATATATTATTTTATCTCATACGTGTGGATAATACAGGCCGTCGGATAAACATATGCTTTATCCACGGGTAGATGCTTTATCAATAGCACTTCCGGTTTTGACATGATTCCTCGCTTCGAGATTTTATTTTGATGAAACTTTTATTCGTAAAAATCCTTGCCCTATCAGGCCAAAGCATTCTTGTGAAACGGCCTTGCATAACATTATTGATAAATGGTTAAACAATATAGACAATGGCAATTCAACTGGTGTTCTTTTTATTGATCTTAGTAAAACTTTTGACACTGTAGATCATGCAGTATTGTTGCACAAACTTTTGTCATATGGCATATGTCAAAGATCTTTGAACTGGTTTCAGCCTTATCTTAGTGGAAGATCACAATGTGTTAGATGGAAAAGTGTGTTATCTGATGAAAAAGATGTTACAAGGAAAGAGTGCCACAGGGAATTATATTGGGGCCTTTATTTTTTATTTTATTTGTAAATGATTATCCAAAATGTCTGAAGCACTCAAATGTCAGTATTTATGCAGATGATACGTCACAGGATGTGTCACATAAATCTATTGATGCTATTCAAGAAAGGTTGCATGATGATCTTTTAAATTCTATGAAATGGAAGTCGATGAACTTAAAGAAAACATAATGCATGTTGATTGGTACTGCACAAAAGCTCTCAAAATATACGAAATTGTGTATCAAAGTAGGTGATGTTGTATTAGAGACTGTTAAAAGTGCTAAACTACCTGGTGTACATATAGATGAATGTTTAACCTGGTCTGTACAAATTGAATTTTTATGTAATAAGCTTTCACAAAAATAGGTATTTTACACCGTCTTCAAAGTTTTATGTCAAAGGCAGCATTGTTAAAAGTTTATAACACTGTTATTTTTCCTCATTTTAACTATTGTTGCACTGTTTGGTGTTAAGCGAAAAACAAGAGTTTTATTGATAGAATAGAAAGACATTCAAACTCCTACTGTTGACATTTTTAGTGCTCTGAAATGGATGCCTATATATGATTATTTTATATATAGAAAACATGTCCTTGCTTTTAAAGTTATGAAAAGTTTGACACCAGAATATTTGCATGTTTTTAGATATGTTAGCCAGGTTAGCTCTAGGGCAACAAGGAGTAGTGATAGTGGCTTTTATACATTCCAAAAGCACGAACATAGTTTTATAAACAATCTTTTAATGTTTCAACTGCAATTTTATGGAACCAGTTGCCTGACACTGTTAGAAACTGTAATTCTTTAGCTTCTTTTAAATCCGCATATTTGCAAAATTATAATTTAAACAGATGAAGAAATTGTTCTTAAATGAATTTTACCGTATGGCATAATATTTAATACTAGTATAGTTTATTTATTAGTATGTACAAATATGTCTGATATAACAT